ATTCGTAAAATCGAAGCCTTTTATATAATTTAAGAATTCTTCATTCTAATTTCTAAATTTTAAAGGCCTATCGAAATAGTGACGGTTAATTTTAGGGGTAGAATTAAATAAAGATATAATTACTTAATTTAGTTGTTATAGGGTGTATTAGAATATAAATTAGTATTATTCTCGTACTTTTATAGATATTAACATAATATAATAAACGCGATTTAGACTATTAATTGTTAGAAAGCATAGCTAAATAGATTAATTTAGTGATAAAAATGGGTAAATCTCTGTATTGTGTGTGTGTCTGGGAAGAGTGCTATGGAACCAAAGTTGGGGGCTCCTAGAGTATTAAGGGGGTCTATAGCCATTTAGGGAGGCTGGGAGGCTAGTCCTCTTTTAGAACCCTCTCCTTACTAGCTGGATTTAACCCTCTAAACTGACAAGTCCAGGCTCGCTCCATCAAACAGGGACCGGCACTTTTCATTACGTCCGGTAGTGCTCAGAGACACTGCACTGTGTTACCTTTGTGTTATCGATAGGCCCTTCTTTTTGCAAGGTTGGCCGAGCGGACAAGTTCCAGTCAACTGAGGTTATTCCCACCCTTTCACCACCGAGAGGCAAATCACCTGTTGTTCACCAAGACGGCTTACACCGCTCTCCAACATGTGAGAGATGATCAGTTTCACAGGAAGAATAACTTGTTTTTTGTGAAGACGGTGGACAGATTTTATACAGGTCGGCCCTATCAGATCCTATCAGAACCCTTGGCATTCCATTACATGCGGCTGGGAACTGGGAAGTGGTAATAAGGTTTATGGTTTGCCCTGACGAGCCCTGGCAGCGGATCGTCTCTGCCCGTGGGCCGCGGCGGGCACGGCGGACTCCATTAGGTTTTGACGTTACCCCGCCAGTTATGTCATCCAATGCAGGTGACCCAATTGCTCTTGCTGGGGCTGCAAAAACCCCTCACCACCAAGACTTTCCCCAATCCGCCGAGCATTCAGAAACCTGCACCACCACCGAGCTTCACCACGCCTTGCAAGGTAATCCTTCTGAGAAACTTGGAGGTTCTGTGGGTGAGGTGTGCTTGGTGTGTTGTTACGACTTGGAGCAGTGAGCACACTGCGCTGAAGACGAGGTTCCTGTGCAGTGAGGCCGCTGAGAGGTGTTGGATGACCCCGCCATTGCCCGATAAGATAAGAGCTCTTTTCTTAGCACGCTGTTAGCGCAGATGCCCACCCCGTCATCCATGTCACTGCAGGCGATATGCGTCAGTAGCCGATCAGCACACTTCCACTCGAGCTTCCACTTGTCGGCGTAACTACCCAGCAGCTGCATACAACCTGAGAGACCCTCGCTCTCTCCGGACTCGCAGTGCCGTACAATTGTACACAGTACTCTTAGACAGGGAGTTGCACTTGCGCCGCTTGTGGCCAAGACTGAAAAGAATTCATCTCCGATTTCCAAGTGGAAAGCTGACGTTACCCTCTTTCTTGTCTCTTCATCTCCTCCGTCTTTCTCTTGACATTTTCCTGAACCTTCCTACCTATTCATAACACGAATCCTCTGCTTGTTGCGATCCAAGACGGGCATCATCCGTTCTGTCAACATCACCAGGACAGTGACTACTTCTACACTCTCGTCTTTTTTTGTACAAGTTAAAGTCCCCTTGACTATCTCGGTGCTTCCAGGTTGGAGCCTGGAGCATGCCCATCTTTGATCGAGCCATCCTCTCTCGGCCATTATCTATCCTCTATAACCCATTCCCGGCGCTCTTTGCCCTCGTCCTCCTCTCGGCCTCCTCGCTAGGCATCCGACTCCTGCTGAGCTCGACCACCCCTCGAAAAGTACTACCAACGAAAATGTCGCCAGCATCCAACAAGATGGCGCCCAGAAAGAAGATCGCCATCATGACCTCGGGCGGCGACTCCCCCGGCATGAACGCCGTGGTACGCGCCTGCGTCCGCATGGCCATCCACATGGGCTGCGACGCCTACTGCGTCTACGAAGGCTATGAGGGTCTGGTTAGGGGTGGTGATCTCATAAAGAAGATGGACTGGTATGATGTGCGCGGCTGGCTCTCGGAAGGCGGCACCTTGATCGGTACCGCTCGCTGCATGGCTTTCTACGAGCGCGCTGGTCGCCTTACTGCCGCCAAGAACTTGATCCTCAGCGGCATCGATGCCCTCATCATCTGCGGAGGAGACGGCTCCCTTACTGGTGCCGACAGGTTCCGTGCTGAGTGGCCCTCGTTGTTGGAAGAGCTGGTCTCTACTGGCGAGCTGACGGCCGAGCAAATTCACTCTTACAAGCACCTCAACATCGTTGGTATCGTCGGTTCTATCGACAACGATCTGTCAGGTACAGACGCCACCGTTGGCTGCTACTCGGCTTTGGCGAGAATCTGCATGTGTGTCGATATGATCGAGGCTACCGCCTCTTCCCATTCCCGTGCCTTCGTCGTTGAGGTCATGGGCAGACACTGCGGTTGGCTAGCTTTGATGGCAGGTGTTGCGACAGGCGCAGATTTCATCTTTATTCCTGAGAAACCTAGGGAGGACAACTGGAGAGAGGAGATGTGCGGCGTTGTTCAGGAGGTACGTTTCCCATGTTCGGCCTGGGCTACAGTACCACCAAATAATCAATGGCTAACAAACGGAAACAACAGCACCGCAAGCGTGGAAAGCGCAAGACCATCGTCATTATCGCTGAGGGTGCTCTCGACAAGTTTGGAAACAAGATTACCCCCGAACAAGTAAGAGACCTTCTCGCCGACAAGAATGGCCTCGCCCTCGATACCCGTATCACCACCCTCGGCCACGTTCAGCGCGGTGGTACCGCCGTCGCATATGACAGAATGCTCGCGACCCTGCAGGGTGTTGAGGCCGTCAAGGCTGTCTTGGAAGCCACCCCCGAGACCAAGACTTGCTTCATTGCCATCACCGAAAACAAGATTGTCAGGAAGCCCCTTATGGAAGCGGTGCTGGATACTAAGCAAGTCGCCAAGGCCATTGAAAGCCAGGATTTCGACGGAGCCATAGGTCTTCGTGATGCCGAGTTTGGGGAGCAGTACAAGTCGTTCATGATGACAACTGCAGGCCAGATCGATCACGAGAAAATGCTGCCTGTAAAGGAGGTGAGTGATGATGATACTACTTGCGCATCATCTGGTTGAGTTTAGCTAATCTCCGTTCAGCGCATGAAAATTGGCTTTATCAACGTCGGTGCCCCCGCTGGAGGTATGAATGCCGCCGTCCGCGCTGGTGTGTCGTACTGCTTGTCTCGTGGCCACGAACCCATTGCGATCCACAACGGCTTTGCAGGCTTTGCGCGCCATCATGCCGATACGCCGAGCGCAGTGCGGCCCTTCGACTGGCTCGAGGTTGATGGCTGGGCCAGCAAGGGCGGTTCTGAAATCGGTACCAACCGTGAGCTCCCGAGCGAGTCTGGCATGGAAACCATCGCCAACCTCATTGAGCAGTACCAGTTTGACGCCCTATTCCTCATTGGCGGCTTCGAGGCTTTCCACGCCGTCGCAGAGATGCGCAAGGCTAGAGACCAGTACCCATCTCTGTGCATTCCCATGGCGCTGCTCCCAGCGACCATCTCCAACAACGTTCCCGGCACCGAGTACTCTCTCGGTTCCGATACTTGCCTTAACGAGCTTGTCGACTATTGCGACAAGATCAAGCAGTCCGCGTCTGCCACTCGTAGACGTGTCTTCGTCATTGAGACACAGGGTGGCCGTTCCGGTTACATCGCTACTCTCGCCGGTCTCGGTGTTGGTGCCTCGGCCGTCTACCTTCCCGAGGAGGGTCTCAGCTTGGAGATGCTCAGCGAAGATGTCCGTCATCTGAAGGAGGTGTTCGCTCAGGACAAGGGACAGAGCAGAGCCGGTCGCCTGATCTTGATCAACGAGAAGGCCTCCAAGGTCTACAGCGCCAAGCTCATCGCCGATATTCTCCGCGATGAGGCCCACGGTCGTTTTGAAAGTCGTGAGGGTATCCCCGGTCACATGCAGCAGGGTGGTGTTCCCTCGGGCATGGACCGTTGCCGTGCTGTCCGCTTGGCCATCAAGTGCATTCAGCAGCTTGAGAAGTACGGACGCAACGTGCACAACCGCGTCAAGATGGATCCCATGAGCGCTAGCGTCATCGGTATCAAGGGAGCGAGTGTTGTCTTTACGCCGGTCCAGAAGTTGGAGGAGGAGGAGACCGACTGGCCCAACAGACGCCCCAAGGCTGCCCACTGGCTTAGTATGAAGGAGATTGTTGACATCCTTGGAGGCCGTCCTCGGCACACCTTGCCTGAGCCCGACCTTACGGGCGTCAAGGCCAAGGACGTGAAGCGTGGACTGGAGCCGGTCAATTAAGCCTTCCCTATATAACGGTTTTATGCCTTACTTACGATTAAAATGTTTATGCTCTGGGAGTTTTAGCAGTGGTGAATGTGATTTTGCACCAAATTGGCATGGATAAGGAGTCTTGTACCTAGATGGGGGGACAATGCAAAAAGAGGTTATCGTTATGGTTGTATGGGTAGTTTACGAAAAGAACTGAGATGGCTTTCAAAACAGAGACTTGCTCATCTCTTCCATTGTCCATGTGATGCTATCGTGGGCACCGCCAAGGTCACCTTACTGAGTCAGCCTCAAACTATGACGAAGTGAGAAGGTATGTGGTCCGCTATGTTAATATTGACGATGAATGTACTGTATATACTATACTACGATATTGGTATCAACAACAAAAACAGAAACAAACATGTACCGGTGCCATCATTGTAAGCCGTATCCTAAACCCTTTTTTTTCCTTTCATCGCCAAGATGAACGGGGACGTGAGAAGATCAAAGAAGCTTGTCCGCCTATTGATCGTCAATTCATCAGGGTTAATCCACACATGTAGTAACTCAGACATTTCCGCAGCCCTACTATATGGTACGTAGCCACAAACAACCCCCTTCTTCAATTCATTACACTATATCCTCCGTCACCTCATGTATGCCATAACTACACCCGCGTCTCCTGACCCTGATGACCATGATCCCCCGGCGCCTCCACCCTCGTCGCCGTGTTATCAGCCATCAACTCATGACTATAAGTCTGATCCGGCAACTCGTACACCGCCCTAGGCGCGTCCAACTCCATCGGCCGTTCCGTCGTGTCCAGTTGCTGCACATTGGTGTACCCTCCTCCGCCCCCAGGAGGCATCTTCTGGTCCCATCCTGCTCCTGCTCCAGCTGCTCCTGCTCCATAGCCGGTGGCCAGCGTGCCGTAAGGCGGAAGGGGCGATGTGGTGGCGGTTGGGGCTTCGGATCCCACGACCGTCGTGCCGTCCTCGGGGCTGTTAAGATCAGCGGAGTTTTTGTTCTTGTTGCGCCGGAAGAGCAAGACAGCAGCGATGATGGCGCCCATCGCCATCATGCCTAGACCAACACCGACGCCGACGCCGATCTTGGCGCCCGAGGACATACCGGACGCAGGTTCGGTGGCTACTCCCGTAGCCGAACCGGAACCAGAACCGGAGGTGGCGGAAGGATTAGGTGGGGAGGTGGTGGTACTGCTGTTCGCGCTATTGGGATCCCACTCCGGCACCGCCCGCCACTGCTTCCAGTCGTTATCGTTGCCGTCCAGCGCCACCTCGGCCAGCTTGCCGCCCACTACATAATAAATGCGCACTTTGGCGGTTTTCGTGTCCGTGATGATGGCGCTCACGACGGCGAGTTCGGCGTTGGCTTCGTCGGCTTGCGGCCAGTACGTTGTGGATTGGTTCTCCCAGAGACTCCAGGAGTAGTTTTGCGAGGTGAGGCGGTAAAGGGACTTGTCGCTGCCGATGTAGTAGACGTAGCGATTATAGACTGTGTCGAGGCTGATGCCGATGGATTTTGGTTGGCCTGTCCAGGAGGGGAGGGAGTAGTTGGAGGGGGCTGAGTAGTCGATTTCGAAGGAGGACGAGGGGGCGGAGCTGGTGCTGAAGTTGCCTTTGAGCGGGTGGGGGGTGGTGGCTGGATGGATGGGGGTGGTTAGTATGATGGTTGTTTTGGAGTAGGGTGTTGGTTGTAGCTTCCGGATGGCAACTGGCAGATACTTACAGATGTACCAATTCTGGTCCAGGCCCCATCTCGTGACTTCAATGTTTTTGTCGTCTCGAGGGGTGACGACGGTGAAGTTGCTTTGGCCTTTCCCGGCGGTTGCGGCGATGGCGTTGCTTCCTTGAACGTCGTGATTGATGGTTCCCTCCCAAGTCCAGGTAGTCGTATCTGGATCATAGCTAAGCCCATTGAGATGCATGTCTTCATCGTGATAGTAGAGCCAATAACCACGGTTTTGGTCGCGAAGGAAGCCGCTCATGCCGGAGTTATTATGAGGCGTCGGCGCTCCCTCGGCCACAACGGGCCAGAATTGTGACTCTGAGTCCATGTAGAGACCGGTCGACGGATCACACTTGAAGATGGCGTTTCTGATACTATTGGACTCATCGAAGTAAAATAATGATGCCCTGGGTAGAAGTAAGCGACGTTCAACTGGAATTAGACAAGTAGGAAACTGACCAGGCATTTGTTTGGTCATACCAGCCAGTCCCGGTCAAAGGACTGCCAGCTTTGGGCGGGCTTTTGGTAAAATTGAGGTAGTTGCCGCCCGTGGTTGAATAGTAGATGGTATCCATTCCCATGCTGTTGCACCTGGTGTATCTATATTGGCCCGTAGTCTCGTTCAGGACGACAACCTGACTAGCGACCGTGTTCCACCACGATGCCATAGTAGCCTCAGAGGGTGCGACTGAAGCCGCCACCAACAGGAGCGTCAACAGCGGCTTAGGTATCGACATGGCGCCGAAGAGAGCCATTGCGACTAAGAGAAGAACCCGAGAGCACGGGGATCTCTGAGGGACCAAAGATGGGTGTTCGGGAAAGTAGCGGAACCGGAGGAAGAGGTGAGAGTTTGAAAGGGGGAAAGAGAAACGGCAGCGCGCTCGGCAGCAGTCGCAATGTCTAGCGACGTCGTACAACCGAATCCTTCCACTCGATAAGAGAAGATGTTAAAAGAGAGTCGGGGGAAAAAGAAAAGTGAGGGTGGGAGCGAGAGGAAGAAGATGTAACTTCAGCCCAAAGACACCTGACTGGAACTTCCAATTGGATGTTGCCTGGGTCTTTGAATCTCGTATGAGAGAATCGTCTTCCACTCCCCGTTCAATTTTTAGTTCCAGTCCAGAGAGAGCAGTCCAGCCCTCTCTTTGCTCACCCACTCTCAACATGAGCTCCCCTTCTTCTTGATCCCCATCTCTTGCGGCTTTTCACCATCCCCCACGCCACCAATCTCCAGACTCCTCCTTTCAAGTAAACAACAACGGCGCTTGGCCCTCCTAGGGCTAACGCGGCGGACACTCCTGCGGACCAGCCTTATCACCCCCCTGCTTGTTCAGAGTTCTGACCCTCCCGCGCCTCCAGATTTGATGACCCCCTTGTTTGAAAGTCCCATTCCAGGAACCGCCAGGAGGGTTAATTCATCATTTTTGGCCAGAGAAAACCGCGGTTGAGAACCCAAAGCGGCATGGGCATGGCACTTGTGTAACATTGCGCGTGAGCGAACGGCGGCGTGCGAGTGGCCATTGGACAGTCTGGCTGCTGCAGTGCGTTGATGGGGGTCTGGGTCCTGTCAGATGCCAAGACATGGAAATGGGAACGCTGATGAAGGGCGAGAAGGTGTTTGGGCCGACAACAGCACATAGGGGGCCCTCTTTTTGAGGATGGTTGCTCACTGCTGACAGGGGCGATTTCGTACTGCTGACCAGTCGCTGCTCGCTTTTTGGATGCTGTTCAGGTTCTTCCATCAGACTGCTCTTGAAATTTCAACCCACTTATCCCATCTGCAATGTTTGATTTTGCATCGAAGTTTTGTCGCCAACAACGAAGATGTGCAAATGCTCCCGAGCAGGTGTCTGTTTCTGGGAGAACACCGACCTACATCTGGACATCTGGACATCTGGGCATCTGGCCTAGCCCTTTCCTACCCCAGATCTGTCCAGCCAACCAACCATCGCCCCTACAAATGGACTCCTTCCATTCCTGTTTATCCAACAGTCGCACAGTCATTGTACGGGAACAAAACGGCAATGACGATACCCAGAAGTGTGCAGCGAGAAAAGGACTGAAGGTCTGAAGGCCTCCGGAGCCAGCCCCGATGTGGAGCGGGACTTTTTTTGCTGGCACGCCGTTTAACGGGGCCGGACCCCACCGTAAGCTGACAGACGGGTCTCCATGCTGTCCGCCATGAAATTGCAGCATCTTTGGCTTCCCGTCTCTGCCTCTTTTCATTTTGCGCCTCATGTAACACTATGAGAGAACTACGAGGCGGTTGACCTCATGCGATTCTGTATCCCGTCCGGGGAGAGGAGCTGGGAAGTTGTAAGGTTGGGCTTGGGGTGCTGAGTGAGCGACTTGCAGGAGATGTTATGGGCGACGATCAGTCATCCTGGACCCCTCTCGCACTTGACCAAGACGAAACGGCGTCCAATTGACTGGCTGTGGGCGACCGAAAAGCGACGACACTTCCATGACTTGTTCTTATTGCCGGTCCTTGATGAGTTGATCTAATATTGCGCGTCCCTTTGAAGGGATTTTGCCCGTTTCTTTCTGAGCACATCAGATTCCAGACCTGCGTCTTGCACGTGAATTTTAGCCACGACAATTTGGCGAGAAGGGAGCTAGGGTCCGGGTACTTACAAAAAGTGTATGCCTGCTTGGCATTCCGGAGTGAACTCCACGATCTGAAGGGGCCAAGATGCCCCCTGGTGGTGCTCGCGATAGCATCACATGGGCAACGAGAGAAATGAGACGAGCGTATTTCTGCTGTTGTTGGCCATTTGGAAGTGGTAGCAATGATAGCACCGGCGGGTCTTAACAAGCAGTCCAGTGCGGCTAGAGAACTGATGTGGAAAACCTCCTGGTGGACAGTCACCATGTCTCAGACTGACGTTTCGCTGGGTAAAAGGATCTTGATAACATAAATATATTGGGTACAATAGGTAAGCTAGGTCTAATATCTTTGGCAACGCCTCTGAGGTTGGAAAATAGAGGCTTCCTATGGGAATGTGAGAAGTCCCACCTCCTGGTACTCTCTGTTTCCTTCCTACTACAGTGGCATGTCTTACTGCGTAAGGTAGACAGCGCATCTTCGGCGTCGAGAGAAACCAGCGTAGACAAAATCGGAACCGAGACGCTTCGATCAGTTCCGAACAAGATTTCGCTGCTGATTCCTTCTTATCAGCCAATACCTCATCTCTACATCTCCATGGTAATACTCTCTGTTCAGTAGCAAGCTGTCTGTCTTGCTTTATCGAAGTCAGAAAGGGTTATTCATCACGCGGCATATTCCTCGATTCAGTCATGCTGAAAAGACGGAATATGTGTGAACCCCGCTGAATGCTCTAATACTGCATCTAAGAAGATGCGCTGATAGCAAACTCATACACAAGACCGATAATAAATCGGAATTTGGTGATCAAATGGTCTTCAAGCCATGTAATTACACCCGCATCTCTTGGACCGGGAATACGCCCTCGCGTCCAAACAATGTTCGTTCTCCTTGACATTCGCCGCGGGCCATGGTGACGAGGAGGATGACGATGTGCTCCTCACTGTTGCTGTGCACGCTGGCCTCCACGGCGACCAGTGAAAAGGTAGTTGAGGTCGTCGATGGAAAGCCTTCCGAGCTGCTTGCTCTGGGTCTCGTCAAGCGCCGTCTCAACAATGTTTCGCTTCACGTTCTGCAACTCGATGATGCGATCCTCAATAGTTTCTTGAACCAAAATCTTGTAAATGTGAACCTCCCGTTGTTGGCCAATTCGATAGGCTCTGTCGACGGCCTGGTCCTCAATGAATGGATTCCAAAAGGGATCACAAACAATGACGCGAGAAGCAACAGTTAAATTGAGGCCCGCATTTCCAGCTTTGAGAGAGACGAGTAACACCTTGACGTCAGGGTCTTCGACAAACGCCTGGATGGCGTTATCGCGTTGAGTTCTGGGCATGTTGCCTGTATAGCGATGGTACTTGATCTTGAGCTTGAACTTGAGAGAGCACTCGATAAGATCGAGATGAGACGTCCATTGAGAAAAGATGATGGTCTTCTCGTTGGACTGCTGAAACTGATCAACCAGTTCAATCACTCGAGTCACCTTGGCCGAGTCTTGCCAATGGTCCAAAGTGTACTGGAGTAGGCGATCTCGTGCGTCCTGGTTTCTACTGGCGTTTGCTTCTTTGCGCAGTTGGTCAAAAATATCCGGCTTCCAGTCCTCCTTCTCTTCCGGCTTAACTTTTGCAGGACGTTTCCCTTCACTCTTTACTTTGCGCTTCTTCTCCCCACTGAGGCTGCCCAGCGACCCATCCGACGTGTCTGATTCATCGCCGCAGCCACTGCCGTCATCACCGACAGGAGAATCTGCATCATCGGTGTCCGCTTTTTCCAGGGCATCAGGCATATGAGCAACCTGGAAAGACGTGTAATTGGTAACCTTGGTGTGGTCAGCGGGGCCACGGCACACCGGACATTTGGCGACATTCGCTCCGTCCTGGCCGTTTCTGATTCCGTTCATAGCGGATTGGTCAGTCAACGAGGAAAAGCAGTCCGCGCAAATATCATGACCGCAAGGAAGTAGGATGGTAGGGTCTGGGACCGCATCGTAGCATATCGGGCACTCGAACGCCTTGATTTGTTTGATTCTGTCAATGACGGCAGGCTCCAGGGTCTTCGCCAGCTCAACCATTGTAGCTTCGGCCAGATGATTCTCGGGGTTAGCCTCAAAGTCGGTGAGATGCGGGTGACAGCAGGCTTGCCTGAGTCGCAAGAGAAGGACAAGAATGTTTGAGTAATTCTTGCCCACTGTGTTGTTTCTGACATATCTGCCGTAGATGACCTGGGACTTCTCTTGCAGATTCTTGTAGAATTCAAGCTCGCCTTCGGAGAATTTGACGTGCTCAATGTGCTGGACCTTCGGAGGAAGGTTCAGAATAGGTTTGCCGTCTATCACCGTAGTCTTCATGCGCCTCAGCATTATGGCTTTCAACAGAGCCTGTAACTGCTTCATGGCCTGGCTCTTTTCAATGTCGCGTCCGTTGTACTTGTGGTCCAAAGATGCGAAGGCTTGTTTGAATTTCTTTTCGTCACAGAAAGGCTTGATTTGGAGGAAACGCAACAGAGAGGAAAGCTCCGAAACACTGTTCATCATGGGCGTTCCAGTCAGACACCATCGGTAAGTCGCCCGAACCTCGCGGACAGCTCGAGACGACATTGTTTTGGCGTTCTTGACACATTGGGCTTCGTCTAGAATGACGCGGAAAAACTTGGTGCCATGATGAAGCATTGGGCACTCAAGCCGGTATCGCTTCTCAGCTTCCTCGTCCAACCCGTCCGGACTCTCGAAACTTTTCTCGACATAATGGTGGTGTTTCTTGAATTGAGCAGTCAGGGTACCGTACGTAGTTAGCACAACGTCGTACTTCTTGAGTTCCGTCCAGGGCTTCTTTTTTGACCCGCCGTGATAAAGATATACATTCATGCGGCGGTCCTCCTTCATCTTGTTCTGGATCTCAAGTTCCCATTGCTTGATCAAAGCCACGGGGCCAACGATCAGGTTGGTTGCCACTTCACCCTCCGGAGCTCTGCGGCTAGCCATCAGTGCCAACGTTGAAATCGTTTTCCCCAGGCCCATATCATCGGCAAGAATTCCACCCCGGTTGTGGCCCACTTCCATATCAGTCATCCATTTGAGTGCCAACTGCTGGTGTGGATAGAGAGGGTACTTGATATCGGGTGGTGTCTCTCCGCGTTCCTCCGGTGGTATATCCTCATCTGGCCGGATGTTGGATAGCAGCTTACTGATCTCGTCCTCTTTCTTCAACGGATCATCCAGACCGAGCGTCATAAGCCTCTCGTCTATTGGATTCCCCCATACATCAGTCATGGAAGTGAAATCGTATGTAGCAGTCCGACTGATAACGTCGGTCAGAGATGGTATATGTACTCCGCTAGAGCCCGGATTGTTAGGCGCATAGTAGCCTCCGTTGACCAAGGTGCCCGGCCTCGAGCTATCGACAGTCGCCAGGCCACCGGGTAAGCCAGGAAAGACCAGAGACCCGTTATCCGAAGAGGGTGTACTATTGGAAAAGCTTGGGAGCTGAGGTCGGGCTAGCCGAGACGGGCGTGACGTACTCGATGTGCTGGCGACAGCAGAGTTGTAGGAAGGGCCACCCCAGATATCATCTATGTCCAAGAATTGAGGTGCAGGAGCAGGAACTTGAGGGGCTGGCAAGCTCGTGCTATGCGGTATGCCTGTCTGAGGGTCGTGGTACGATACCTGATTACTCTGAAAAGGAGCAAACAGCGAGGTTGGAGTCAAGGTCGCTGAAGATGTTGAAGAGGCTTGCGCAAATCCTTGCCCAAGCATGGCCTCCACGTCATCATCACTGATAGATAACGGCAGTTAGCAACGTCTCGGTATGAATTTAAGATCTAGGCCAAAAAATAACAGTAGAGATCTACGCACCCTGTGAGGTCTATCAATGGGCCGGAGTCGAAGCCGTCGCCGAAGCCGAAGCCGTCGTCGAAGGGGTCCATGTCGTTGCCTGCAAAAGGGCTGACATTGAAGGGATCCGAAAATGTCGTATGATAGGAAGTACCGCTTCCAGAAGCCGTACGCTTCGAACTACTTTCGGTATCCCTCAAAGCATCATGGCCTAAGCTGGTACCGATCGAGCGCTTCCGCTCCCGAGGAACAAAACCGCTGAAGGAGTTTTGGAAGTCTCCGGAATCGTCGAGCAGGGATTCATGTTGCTGGGGGAGTTGTTGGAAGGGTCGTTGTCCTTGCTCGTGTGAGCCTTGTTGAGATCGTCGTTGCCCCTGCTGCTGTGGATGATGTGGCTGGCGTTGTTGCAGTTGTTGCAGTTGTTGCAGTTGTTGCAGTTGTTGCAGTTGTTGCAGTTGTTGCAGTTGTTGCTGTTGTTGCTGTTGTTGCTGAGCGTATTGTTGCATTCGCTGTTGCTGTTGCTGTTGTTGTTGTTGAGCGTAATGTTGCTGTTGCTGTTGTTGTTGACGAAGTTGATTGCCCTGTTGACGTGCTCGTTGTTGAGCAGTGGAAGTGCCAGCTGGTGATTGCGACCCATCCGGCGAGCCCCAAAATTCCGCGTCCATCGGGATACCGAGAGAGGTTCTAACTCTGTCCATCTCCTTAACAATGTCGCAGATCTTGTCGTTGGTCTCGGTGAGATCAGCCTCTCTCTTGTCAGTCTCTGGCTCTTCTTGGAGTTGAGCGCGTAGTTCCAGCTGGAGAGTCAACTCGATCTCCAAGTCGGCAAGGTCACTGGCTTTAGCAGTGGGTTGAGGCTTGGGGTTCGAGGAAGATGATCCAGTCCGTGTCTGCCACGAAGAGGAGTGCGTCGAAGACGCTGTTGCTCGGTTGGGGGTTGTCATAATTTAAGTAGTAGGGCTCAACTGGCCACATGACGACGCAGTAGCAAAAGAGGCTCAGGCTCGGTGAGTTCGAGGGAAGGCGCGACCCGGGGAAACTCGGCTGCAGGTAAAACAGGCAGGAATCCGCCACGATGTCCAAGTTCTGTTGGATGCAAGGCAAGTGGGATTCGGTCGCCGTTGGATGTTGTGATCAAGAGGAAGTGGCAGCCGAAGAATTTGTAATTTTTCGGAAGGTGCTAGAAAAGAAATGTAGTCATATTGCGTCTCAATGAAGGGAAGGAACTGGAGAGGGGACAGGTTGGAGGCTGTAGGCATCGGAACCTACGTGTGCCCTTCAACTTGGCCTGCACTGGAGTATCCTCTCCGAGGCCCGAGAACAGGAACCTGCACAATTTCTCCAAGACCGCAGCCCACTCCCAAGGTCTCAAGAGACCGTATGTTTCCCTCAAAAACCTCGAACCTGGGACGAATTTGCTCTTCACGCGTGTCTGTGAGACGTTGAAAGCTCCGATTTGCCACGATGGTTGCGAGTCTAGAGGTAGCTCGCAGCCTGGTGGGCACTTGCTATGGGATGACGGCCGGCGAGCTTGCGTGAATAAAACGATACGTGGGGTGGTAACGCAAGCCCCAAGGGTAGAGGTATTGAAGAGCAGGCTGAAGAGCCTCAAGTGGATTGTCCGGGTGACCGTGGCTGCCTGGCGTAATCAGGATGTCTAGACCGTGTGGCCATACAGATGCCGTCGATTCAAATAAGGCTGCAGGCGCACCACGGGGTTTCTCAGGAGCTGGGTGTGGCCTCCAACTGACTTGAACCACGTAACAAAGAGGAAGGTCCGTTTAGAACATCGCGGGATCCCACGCCTCGTTTTGAGCACACCTTATTTGCCTGGCGAAATGGTGATACGGGGATTGGACCACTCCAGCTTGAAGCGAAACTGAGCGAGGGCTCTTAAAGTAGTTTCAAGCTGACAATATGAAAGCCCAAAACGCGACAAAGCCGCGTGCGGAAAAGTGAGATGGGAAATGAATGGCAAGAAAACGTGAAGTAAACTTGTGTAATTCTCGTGTACGACGCTGACTCGGAATGTTGCGCCGATTGTGAGGAGTCAAATTCAGACCCAAATGGAAGGAGGCCGTGTTGTTCGGAGGAAAGGCGTTTGGTTTGAATGGTTGGTGGTTACCAGTCTGAAGCCACCAACAGAAGCGGAAACGTTGTTGGCCGCCAGCCAGATTGTTTTTTTTGTGTTCCCCTTGAGAAAAAAAGCAATCACAAACGCCAACAAAAGTGCCGACGACTCCTTCGCAATCGATTCGGTTCAGTCCACCAAAACTCGCGCGCTGCGTCTTTCCGATTGTTGACTTCTTTTACGCGCGATTTTACGTAGTGAATTTGATAACGCGTTTTGGTGTTTCCCTGTCAGCCCAGGCTGTTCATCCGAGCTCTGTTTATGCCTCCACAAAGCATCCCTTCAGTTTTCCCCACACTGTCCCAATACCTCTAGGTAAAGAGGAAAGGAGAATCAAGAATCTACAAGAGCGAAGCTGCGGCGCTATCTCCATGGATGGGTGAAGCTTGTCTGATGGAAGGGTCCCTTGAGGATATTTTTTTCGAGATGCCTGTTCACCGAAACAACCGGATCTCACTTGTGTAAACTAGGGTCATCCCGTACCTAGCATGTATGCTTAATCCGCCCAGTACCTGACCCGAAAGGTAGGCATGCTTTGATCCATGTTAGGCTTGTCAGTTTATGGACATTCATTTCTGTCGATGCTATCTCGTCAACAGCTTGGTCACCCATTTGGACATGTTTATTTTATAAGAGGGGGTAAGCCTGAGGTTATGCTCTGTTAATGCGTTACAGTGTAAGTAAGGCCCCGCACAGTCTGCTTCATTGGACGGACTCTTTGCTCAGCTCGAGCTCGTTGTCTTTACACCTTTCTTGATAACATGCTCGTCAGGTCTCGAAGCGTCTGCTTCCCTCTTGTGTTCAGTTACATTCAAAATGAGGAAATAATGGATTCATAAGACACCGCTGTTTGTGGGCCAAGGTGAACACTTCAGCGAGCGCTTTCCTGCACGCATGGATACCTTGGATATCCCATCTCACAAGCTCTCAAATTACGTACCTTGCGTCAAACATTGGACATCCGCAAAGATCATGATAGGGGAGGAAATCGGGAGCAAGAAAGGAACTATGTGCAGTTCAGCGCAGAAAGCCATGTTTTTGGTGCTGCAGGTGCGGGCGTATATGGACCTTGACTATCGCTATCGGCTCGCTATCGGCACGCAGCCTTGATACCTATGATCACATCCAGGCCTGGCCACATCTGCCTGATGAGTGCTTGACACGTTCATGATTTTGAGGCTTAGATCTAAGAATGAACGTGGCAAGGCATGTTCAATGGGCTATACAGCTTCTACCAAATAATCTGGTATGGGAGGACAGTCTGCTCGCTAGAGTCGCTGGTCGCTTTCAATACTAACCCCGTAAGAGATGGGCAGTGCGTATCGGACTTGTAAAAAAGTACGTACTACACCCCCAGTCACATCCTCCCTCCCAGAAAAATAATGGTAAATATTCATGTGACATAAGATTTATTAGCCGTGTACGCTAAAACCAGATGTACTACTAGAATATGCGCGCGGTTTACGATATAATATAATTATACTACTATTCTTTCATGTACTCTAGTGTAATTTTGGTAATAAATAGAGGGTATTTAAATAATGCGATTCCTGTTGTTTACGACGAAATTGTTGGTGTTTTAAAAAAAATTACCCGTATTGTATGAAATTTGGTATATTACAGTAGTGAGGGTACAATAGTTTTACCGTTGGTACGCTTACTTCCTAGAAAAATAAATAAAATAATTTATATACTAGTGTTTCTCCTTACCCGCGTTTTTTTTGTTTACTTTTTTATTTCTTCCTATATAATTACTTTTCGAGTCGCGTTAATACTACTACCCTTCTTTAAATTTCGCCGTCGTTATAGATTAATAAAAACCCGTCGTCGCCGTTATTGGCGCTATAAAATTTTAAAAGTTTATTGATTATAAGCCCCATTAGGATATTAACGATCTTTAGTAGCTTCGCAACGTTAATTTTAACGAATTATTATTCGATTAATTTATACCCGGCGCGTTTCCTTATATTGTAAAAGTAAACGAGGAGGATTTATTTACGCCTAGTAATAATATCATTTTTAAAAATGCGTTAGAGGGTAGTAAGTATTATATAAATAGTCCTTATATAAATTGCTATAGCTAACGTTCTTTCGTAATAATTATTACTCCTATTATTATAGGGCTAGCCTATAATATAGTTGTACTACACTAACTATACATATACCATACTAGAGCTAGTACTATAGCCTAAAACTATACACTTATATACTAATTACATATTCTAATTATATACAATCTTACGTACGCGCGTACGGACTGGTCTTACTTAAACTCTCGCCTATATAACCAATCCTCTATTATAAGAGGCCGAAATTAGCTTAAGGTAGACTTGCCTCTCGCCTAACTTAATATAAATCAAATCGAAGCAAGCTCGCATAATTATTATAACCCGACCCTATCTAAATTAAAGTAAGCTCGCTTATCTTTAATCGAACAAATCAGGGACAATTTACAGCTACTATATATATTAATTCAATCCGACTTATACGGGAATTAAATGAGAATCTTATTCGGATTATTAATAAATTAATTACTATTATTATATTAAAATCCAATTTAATTATAACATTTCAGGCTTTTTATAAATAATACCCAATTAATAAACCTAAACCTATTAATTATACTATATAATTTTTATTTTTATTTTTGTATATAAATCGCCGACCTGCTATAAAGTAACCCGGCCCTATACCCATATTACTAACTAATTATACCTTTAATATTTTATTAAATTTACTTTGAATTATATTTAATTTATTTAATTATATAGTTTAACGTAACCTATGTTATATATCTGACTATTTATATATAAATCTAAACGCGAAGTAATACCGGACAATATTAAATAATAATAAACCACAATTCTAAGCTCTAATAGAATTTCTATCCATTATTACCGATAATTATTTTAATTTAATAATTAGTACGAAAATAATAAAATAGGTTTAAAACGCTATATTACCCGCTTTTTTCCTATTTTAATCTTTCGATTTCTATATCCCTAAAAATGTATTTAAAATTATAATTAAATACGTATAAAAATATGACGTATAATTAATCGAATAGGTACCCTCAGTAAACGAATCCTTTAATTAAATTGAAAATAAAAATAACTTCTTTAATAAATTTAAAAACAAATTAAAGTCCAAAGATTAAACTGGCTTTAGTTCTAATAAATTATAAATTACGCCAAGTTACCCTATTAATTTAAATTTTCGGAAATAATTTATATTCTTTCTATAAATAAATTATTTTTAAAATAAATTACGCTACCTAAACCCCGTACTAATTTCTAATATAATTTAATAAATTAAATATAAAAGAAACTATAAATTTATAATTAGTAATTTAAAATTAAAAATATCCGACTCCAACTGGGAATTTCGGTTTTATAGGAAGCGAAGGTAATTAAAAAAAGGAAGGAATTCCCTTACAATTTAATACTTTAACCAAATCGGGTAATTTATTTTATTATTAACCCCTAACGGTAAAATTAATTTCGGACTCTAGTAACAATCTTTTTAGTCAATTATAAGGAAATAACGATATTTTATTTATAAATACAACTAAAAATTAAAATTACTGTTTCTTCCTCGATTCGGAAATATTAAAATCTAACCTCTACAAACTAAATACAATTCGAAAATAGCAACGCCCAAGCCTAAAAAACAGCTCCAACCCTACTTAATTAAAATTTATAAATAAGAGCAATTAAACTCACTCTTAACAAATGTTGAATATATTTTACGAACCTTTTTAATAAACCCCTTCCCTAAACTTTTACATTAATTTAAATCCTTCCCTCTTTATTTTCGAGAATAAATTAATAAAGGCCGTTTCCAATAGAACTACTAATTACGCTCGTTCTAATATCCCTACTACTTTAAACTCCTAAAATTATAATTAATATATTAAATTTACCTCCTATTAAGAAACGAATTACAAA